GCTACTTCTCTTGGATCAAGACAGGAATTTCCTAATTAGGTCACCTCTTGGGAGAGAAAGATATGAAAGCTTATCAATGCATTTCTGAAAGTGATACCCGAGTACAAGTTTTCCATTTCGAGTATCTTCAGGGTAGAATTTAATAATAAAAATACAGAAAGGTTTCAGCAGACTTAACCTTCTGAAAACTGATACACAGGGACTCAAGAAAACAGGAGATCCCTTTCTAAATAGACCCATTTTAATGTAAGAATAAATAGATAGGAAGGAAAAACAAATGAAAAATGTGAAAGATATCCTTGGAGGATAAAAGAGCTTTAAGCAATATGTATAAATACATCACAGATGGTACCTGTCTCCAACTAGGATTCAACATATTTTATCCAAGAATGCTGCTGGAGAGACCAAGGGACAAAATCTTCTTTCACATATGTCATTGGGCCTAGGTCCAAATTCTCATTGGAAGTAACCAGAAGAATAACCACTGTGATGGATGGTAATATCCTATTAGACTCGCTTGTTTGATTCCTGAATGATCCCTTTAAGCATACGCAAGAGGTGGGGAAAGAAAAATTACTGCACTTTTGATGGCAGCAATTAAGACTCCCTATTTGCTTATACATAGAAGGATTAACTTCCCTACCTTCTCCCCATCGCTGAAAAAATGGTACAATAAAATGTGAGATGCCTTAGTGATGAATAAATGCATTCCATCAGTTCAGATTACCAGAAGAGAGGCCAGGAAAGGTGTCATTCCTTATTAATTCCAAGAACAAAAATTCATCAGCTAGTAAATGAGACACACGGAATATTGCTGGATAGGGAGGGATAATAGGGAAGGCTTTCCCTCTTTGTATTTGCATGTGACTATGCTGACAGTAGATGGGCTTCTCACTTCCTAAGAACTGCTGCAAATCTGCACTATTGCCTCAGAACAGCAGCAAAAATTTATACAGAATCACGATGGTTGGAACGGACCTCTGAGATCACCAAGTCCAACCATCAAGACAAAAAAAGCAAACACACACAACCAACCACACACACTCCACCAAAACATACCCACAAAAAACCCCAAAACCACTAGAGCATGTCCTGATGTGCCACATCTCTGACTGAAGTGCCACATTCTTGAATACCTCCAAGGATGGTGACTCAACCACCTCCTCTCTGGGCAGCCTGTTCCAGTGCCTGACCACTTTCTCAGTAAACAAATTCTTCCTAATATCCCCTCTGAACCTTCCCTGCCAAAACCTCAGGCCATTTCCTCTGCTCCTGTCATTATTCACTTGGGAGAAGAGGCCAACACCAACCTCGCTACAACCTCCTTTCAGGTAGCTGTAGAGAGCAATGAGGTTTCCACTCAGCCTCCTCTTCTTCAAACTAAACATCCCTAGTTCCCTCAGCAGCTCCTGCTTGTCTGGGTTCCTCTGCAGAGCCTTGCTACCCTCAAGCAGATCAACACCTCCACCCCATCTGGTGTCATCTGCAAACCCACTGAGGGTGCACTCAACCCCCTCAGCCAGTTCATTGAAACACACACAACCAACCACACACACTCCACCAAAACATACCCACAAAAAACCCCAAAACCACTAGAGCATGTCCTGATGTGCCACATCTCTGACTGAAGTGCCACATTCTTGAATACCTCCAAGGATGGTGACTCAACCACCTCCTCTCTGGGCAGCCTGTTCCAGTGCCTGACCACTTTCTCAGTAAACAAATTCTTCCTAATATCCCCTCTGAACCTTCCCTGCCAAAACCTCAGGCCATTTCCTCTGCTCCTGTCATTATTCACTTGGGAGAAGAGGCCAACACCCACCTCGCTACAACCTCCTTTCAGGTAGCTGTAGAGAGCAATGAGGTTTCCACTCAGCCTCCTCTTCTTCAAACTAAACATCCCTAGTTCCCTCAGCAGCTCCTGCTTGTCTGGGTTCCTCTGCAGAGCCTTGCTACCCTCAAGCAGATCAACACCTCTACCCCATCTGGTGTCATCTGCAAACCCACTGAGGGTGCACTCAACCCCCTCAGCCAGTTCATTGATAAAGATACTGAGTGAGACTGGCCCCAAAACTGAGCTCTGAAGGACATCACTGGTGACCAGCCCAACTACACCTGACCCCATCTACCACAGCTCTCTGGGCCCGGCCATCCAGCCAGTTTTCTACCCAGTGAAGAGTACAATTGTCTGACTGGCCAGCTTCTCCAGGAGATGCTGTGGGAGACGGTGCCAAAGGCCTTACCAAAGCTCGGGTAAACAATGTCCACAGCCTTCCCCTCGCCCAACAGGCAGGTGACATGGCCATGGGAAGAGATCAGGTTGGCCAAGCCAGACTCTCCTTTCACAAACCCCTGCTGGCTGGCCCTGATCCCCTGCCTGCCCTGCGCTTGCTGGGAGAGCTCACTGCACATGGGCCTCTCTGTGACCTTTCCCGGTACCCATGTGTGAGGGTTATGCCCCTTACCACACGAAAGACAGGCCTCCCATAAAACTATTTCAACATACAGGGATGATTCAAGGCACACAACCCCTGCCCAGTGCCTGTGGCACCAGGACCCATCAAGACCAGAGATGCTGGCTCCTTGCTGAAGGGTCTGACCCCTGCCTGGGGGTGCTCTGTCCTGCCCCGGGGCTCAAGCCTGGCTGGGCCAGGGCTGCCGTGCCCTGGGAGAACGC